GGCGGCGGCCCGGGCGGGGGTCCTCCCGTGCTGTAGTCAGACATGGCGCGGCGGGGCCGGGCCTGGCGCGGAGGCAGAAACTGAGGAGGCGGCGGCTCAACGCGGGAACAAGGCCTCGCTCCACACGGCCGCGAAGCACTCTGGGAGGCCAGCGGCTGGGAAGACGACGAGGGGGGAGGGGACCGCCCCCTCTCGCCGGCGGCATGACGGACGGCGGGGTTCGACCAATAGGTGGCTGGCACCGCTCTCTGATCACCAATCGCGGGCTCTGTCGGCGAGCTGCCAGTCGGACAACTACGAGAGGCAGTAGGCGGGAGGAGTAGCGTGATTGACGTCTCTGGCAAGCAATAGGCTGCGGGCTGCCTGGGCTGGGCGGGCTAATCGAGGCGCGTTGAAAGGGTAAGAGGTGGTCTTACGGCGAGATTGACAGCTCTGAGGACAGGAAGGATGGCGCTACGAAAGGTTTCTTTGAACGAACTAGGCGGGAGCTCATGCAGATGGTAGGGACCACCAGCCAATGAGTACAAGCTGAAGGCGGCTCTTGTGAAGATTGGCAACTACGTTCATCCAACCCCCAATTAGTTCAGCCTGATGCGGTTGGCTTTCGACTTGATTGCTTTCGCTGTTAACCAGAATCCTTTTCTAGGCCTCCCTTCTAAAACGAGCCAGTGGCTGGGCAGCGGGGGGGCGGGCACTAAGTGACCGACACTTCTGCCAACAAATAGCAGTGGAAGGAAGTAAAGGTTCGGGTTTTGGTGGGAGCCAATGGAAGCACACTTGCAGTGGGCGGGGTTGCCTTGCCCCCGGGCAACTAGTGGGTTGGCGGGAGCCCGCGTGAATGGCAGGCGACCTGAGCAATGGTCACGGGATGCACGAATTTAGGCCTGACGTTTGGGTTAGCAACCCCGAGTCTGCTGGCTTGGCCTGGCACGCGGTCAGCTTGAGGCCGTAGGGACCGGCTGCTTCCCTAGAGGAATGGGATGACACTAGAGAAGGAGCTCTCCAGAGCTTCCCTCTCCTCTTCCAACTCTGGGGTTTTGAACCCCCACTTCTCTACTTCGTCTCTTAGAATTTTAGCTTCCCTGCCTGACTTAAGGGTCCAGGGCTGGCAGCTCCTCCAAGGACTGGTGGTCTTCCTCTCTAATTCCCGCATCACCACCCCTCTCTTACTGTGAAGCCCTGGGATCTCAAGCCCATCATAAAGCCTCAAGTTACATCTCTAGAAATCGGCAAGGTTCCTGGCCACCCCAACCCCAGGGATATCAAGCACCTAGCAGCCCGCATGCATCCAGGAATCCCCAGGTCCCTCCTAGACCCAGTATTTCCAAGTCCCCAGATTCTCAAAACAGGCTAGCAGAAATCATTCCTTTATTCTGGCCATTTGCCCATCCGTCATTCTGCCCTTGAACTAGCGTGCCCTTTACTCCAGGTCGGAATCCAAACTGCTGTCCTGGGCTGTAGCCCTGGCAAGGGTCCCCAGCGTCTCCCAACTCAAGCGCCCAGGCTAATTTCTTCTCAAAAGCTGCTCCGCACAGAGCCGGGCCAGGGCACGCTGGGCCCCCCGTCCACCTCGACACAGAGACTGCTGCCTAGCTGGCCACCTCAACACCTAGAGTTTTCTTCATGAGTTCATACACCAGGTAGCTGATGCCGCCAGCGGGAAGCACCTTCAGCAGCGTGGGGGTTACTCCTCGGTACAGCCCCGGCAAGCCTTGCTGGGCCAGAATCCTCTGGAAGACTCCACGCATGGTGGGGTTCGAGCCCTCCACAGAGTCTGTAGGGACAAAGCCAAGTTCAAGGCCCCAGCAGCAATGATCTTGGGGGTTGGGAGGATGAAACCAAAGCCCGGGGTCTAAACGGGTCATTTGGAATAGAGTGTCAATGATGTTTATAGGAAATGAGACAGTCTGAGGGGGAGTGAGGAGTTCAATTTGGGGAGCCATTTTCAGAGTACACTCTCAGGGAGTCATTTAGAAAACATTTGAGCATGATGAGGTTGAGAACTTCTGACATCTGCCGGGGACTTGGGCAGTGTGGTCGGGGGCCATTTTGGAGGCGTTGTCAGGGTCAGGGTGGTGGGCTGAAGGTCTACTCCGAAGTTTGTGGATTCATCTGGGGACTGAATCCAGTTGGGGTGTCATTTTTGAGACTTCTCAGTGTCTTTTTGTCAAGCTAAGTCTTAAAGAATGTGCAGCCAGAGTGTTCCTAGGAAGCACTTTGGACATGTTGCTAGGAGAGGCTATTCCTTGGAAAGGGACATCATTTGGAAAGGTCAGTAAAAGAAAGGACGGCCCTCAATGACATGGATTGACACAGTGACAAGAGCAGTGGGTTTGACTATGTCAGAGATGATGAGGCTGGCATAGGATAGGACAGGGTTCAGATCCATTATACAGAGAGTCACTGTGGGTCATATTCAACTTGCAATACGTAACAGCAGAATAGCAGGGAAAGTGAGTATACATGAGTTTTAGGGAGTCAAGATCAGTTATGGTCAACTTGGGGAGCATACGTGGAACTGTTTGAGGACTAAATCTGATTTTGCATTTAGTGGGTCAACTTGGGGTCAGAAAGTCCCTGGGTGGTGGACAGTTAACACACTCAACTGCTAACCCTAAGGTTATGTTGTTGTTGTTGTTATGTGCCGTCGGGTGGCTTGCACTCATAGCGACCCTATGTACAACAGCCCTAAACTCTGCTCTGTCCTGTGCCAATCGCATTGCCTCTGACACAACCATCCCGATAATCCCAGTCACCAAATCAATCCACCTCATAGAGGGCCTTCCCCTCCTGCGCTGTCCCTCCACCCTCCCCAGCATGATGTCCTTCTCCAAGGACTGGTCTCTTCTTACAACATGTCCAAAGTATGTTAGATGGAACCTCAGAATCCTTGCCTCCAAAGAGCCACCCGGTTTAACTTTCCAGGATGAATGTTTTCCTAGACTGCTAGGAACCCTAAGGTAGCAAGTTCAAATCCATCAAGAGGCACCTTGGAAGAAAGACCTGTGGCTGCTGGCAGGGCTCTAGGGCCCAGGTCTACAGTGACACATACAAGGCTGCCAGCATTCTGAAACTGCCCGATGGTGACAGGTTGGCCTGAGGTCACAGTGCTGAGCTGGCTCACGCGAGGGGGAGTTTGGGGTAACTGGGGATGGATGTGTTAGCGGCTTTTCGGGGCTGGGCTTACACTTGAGGATGAAGTACAAGTTTTGGTGGATTTGGGAGCCTGCTAAGGCCCAGGTCAGATACGTAGAATGAAGGAGCCCCTTATGGAAGCTAAGAAAATTCATTCCACTGTAAGTGAGGCACCATCAAGTGGGTCCAGCCTGACCTTGCGCCTGCATCCTGGTGCGCACCAAGGTCAGTGGGTAGCTGGCCATCTGGCCACAGGTCGTGGATAGTGTCACAGATGACACACTGACCATCAGACCGCTGGGGTCCTCCATGTTCCTGCCTGACCTCCGCCAGAAGTGCAGCATCATCTGCAAGAGGAGGGGAGAGGGTCGAGGCTGGACTCTGGGCTCCAGCCACCCCACCCCACCCACTCCCGGGGACCCCCACCTCATAGACGGCCAGGTCAGTGCAGGCGTAGGGGATGATGCCCAGCATGTTGGGCAGGTAGCCGCGGTAGAAGGCGCGAGGTCCCTCCTGCTCCAGGATCTGCCGGGCACAGTGCCTCAGCCCCTTGTACTGCCCGGTCCGGCCCAGCGTCAGCCGAGTCTTCAGCACCTGGGGGGAGGGCGGCTGAGGTAGCTCATTTGACTTAAGCTTCTTAGTGGCAGGATTGAATTGTGTCCCTTAAACTCCAGGCTGAAAGTCCTAACCTTACACCTTTGTCTGGAGGAGCCCTGGTATGTGGTGCGTCTGATACAGGCCATGGTCTCTGCTATCACTTGTTATGCATCAGAGAGTTGGACAATGACCAAGGAGGACAGAAGGAGAATTGATGCCTTTGAGCTGTGGTGCTGGAGAAGAGTATTGAGGGTACCATGGAGTGCTAGGAAAACAAACAGATTC